CGATCGATTCGAAAGGTAGAGTCGATACACGCGAGTCAGCTCTCTCTCTCAAAAGAGGAGATTTCGCATACGGCAAACAGCGGAACGGTCAATCAGCCGCCATTCAACGACCATAATAAAATAACATAGGAGGCAAAGCTAGGACTTTTTTGAGAGCAATCATGTCCAACGTTACACGCGCCCACGATTTAGTTAACTGAATGACTATTGAATGACTTTTAACGAACAATGGGGCAGAGTAGTGGGGGGAAATCCTTCTCCAAAGCAACGACTCTCTCTCACTGTCGATGCATTGTCGAAACCGGGATCATCGGGGGAGGGAGGCCACGTTCGAGCGAATTCAGAAATGCTGGGCCGATTACCACCGCAATTACCAAACAATCGCATCCCGCGATTCTGAATTGGAAAATTCTCTCTCTCTCTCGAGAGAGAGGGGGAGAGATTGTTTGGAAACAAGCGGCTCCCAACGTTTGTAAGAGGAGATGTAAAAGTGTCTTTTTTTTTTCTTTTTTTTTTCTTCTCGAGAGATCGTTGTCATTTTTAGTTAAATGAGCGTCGTCGAGAGATGTTTTGGATTTTTTAGAAGGTAACGCGGAAGTTTCTCGAAAAGAAGTATTTTTTAAAAGGTCGTCGCTGTCATTTTTGTTGGCAAGAGTAGGGAAGTGTTTTTTAAAAGGTAGCGATGTGTGTTTTTAGAGAGTCGTAATCTATTTTTTTTTTTTTTTTTTTTACAGAATGACGCGTATATACTGTTTTTACGAAGTCATGAAACGACTTTTTTTTAAAAGTGATTTTTTTTTTCACGGAGTCGCTTTTTTTTTTATTGATAAAAATCACAAAGCGTTTCTTTCTCTGAAAGATCAAGGCTTTTTTTTTAGACTTCGTGTCGTTATTTTTCGATCGACGCGAAAGATGAAAAATGGAAGCAACACGTGGAAGGAAACGTGGGGACACTACGAATAGTGAAAGATGTGCAAAAAGCCTATTGAAGGGAGGAGTTAAGAGAGAAACGAAGGAAAACGAGCATAAATAAACGACTCTGTACACGCGTTGTTGAAAGAGTAATATGTGGGATTGCACGGTGGAAATGCGAATAAAAAGACAAAAAAAAAAAAAAAAAAAAGAAAAAGGAGAGGAATGGGAAAAAATGTTTCAAGGGAGAGTAGAATAGGTGTGGCATGCCCGGTGGTGCTTCTCTATTTTTCCTTTGAAACGCGGCCGGAAGTATGTGTGTATATATGCGTACGTGTATATGCACGTATATTTCGGAAGTATATTCTTGGCGAGAACGGAGGGAGCATAGAAATGGCAGAAAAACTTGCTCCATTTAACTGCAACTTTCACGGTGTTCGGATTCATATGAAAATTAGGTCCCGTTACAGTTGCCGGTTACGAGAAAAAGTGTACATACTATATACTATATGATAAAGATTTCATTTCGTTGACAAAAAGCCAAACAGAGTGAAGTAAATCAATTTTCGAGCCATGAATTTTCTTCCCTAAATATTTTTTTCTAATCTATGATAATCAATGGTGGTTATATTTAAACGAATATAATAAATTCTACGATTTGTCACGATAACTTAAAAATTGTACAAAGCGAATCAGAATCACTTGGTGTATATTCAATAATCTTGAGAGAGTTGCTTTACGACATTATCGTTTAATGGTAAAGTGGAAAAATACGACATAACATCCTCGCGTGGTAATTTCGATAAATTCAATTTATCATTCAGACAAATGTTTATCGAGAGATGCGAAAGAGAGAAATGTACAAAGAGAAAGATTGTTCGAAGATAAATCTTCATTTCGTATGGTAAACTTTTCTTTGGTAAACCAGAGAAGCATTTCTTCCCCAGGCCAGCTTCTTTGTTTCTCGAGTAGATGGGAAGGTATTCTCTCTTTCTCTTTCCAAAGTCCGTACAATGTAGATTAAAGTCGCGTAAAGCATTTTTTCCACTAGATGTACGGCCACTTTGATTTTGATAAGTTACGCAGAAAGCGGACGAGAGTTTTCATGTTGGCCCCACGAGACGGTAACAAAGCGATACAACGACCAACTCTATAATCACGGGGCATTACTCTTATTATCTCCACTTGCTGCAACAAAGGCAAATTAAGCCGTAAAACTCTCGAGTAAAATACAAGTCTCTTGTAAATTATGTTCGTCTCGTGCTTTCCCTGTTACCCTTATTAATTACGTAGGCATCGATAACTTCTCTTGTTCTTTATAATTTCCACTATATTTTCTTCATAAAATTCTCCGAAAAAAAAAAAAAAAAAGAAATATCTACAGTACCGACAGCTTCTCTCGGTTAAAAGAAATTCGAAATAGTTAACGACATCGATGAAGATTTTTATTTTTATGAATAAATAAAAACCATGAAACAATTTGAAAATTGTCCCGACAAAACTTTATTCTACGCTAAATTAATATTTTTATATCGATCTAAGGATTAAATTATGTAATACGATATGAATAAATGATAAGTATGAAACTGAGAAACGCAATATAAATAAAAAGAATAGACATAAAGAGAGTAATAGACTCGGATGACACGGATGAAATAAGCGGTTTAAGTTATATTGAAATTCTTAATATAATAAATTCTGCAATCCTTTTCGACTCGCCCCAATACATTTATCTTTGCGCGCAAACTCGTTTCAACATTATTTCCTTTTTTTCTATCCAGTTTATCATTTAAACGTATTAATGTTTAATTTTACATTTTTTGAAACTTTACTATGACGAGAATTTATAGGTCATATTTCGATGCTTCAAAATTTGTTAATGATGTCGAAGAACGAACATATATAAAGAATATAAAGAAAATATTTACACATACCATAAAATCTTAGAAATAATAAAAATTGGGCGGTGAATCGAGTTTAAAAAGTGATACGAAAGAATGTTTCAAAGAAAGGATCTCGATTGAACGGTCGATAATTAGGAAAATTATTCAATAAGGAAGTAAGGAAGAAATTAAGATGGGAACAATCAAGAAATTCGAAGAACGATAATTCCATTAGTTTTACATTAGTGAACAAAGTTTAAATGGGCGAATGTCGTATTCGGTTCAACGATTTGCTTTCTATACCGTTCGAATTTCGATGTAATCCAGAGTGTTTGACCACGCGCTCGTCCAACCATTCGCCATTACCTTGAACGGCACACAGTGACAAACTTTGGTCGTTACCGGTAGTTCGTTCTCACGTTTGGGCTCTTTCTATCCTAGCGTACCTTATTATCTACAGAGTTTCGCTTCGTTTTCGTTATTGCCTACGTCACTCATACCGTTTATCATTTCCGTTTTCAATGTTTAACTAATTTCAATATATTTTATTCGCAAAAATTTATGTAATAATCATGGTAAACGAAACTGATAATCGAATTAATAGTTAGTAAATAACTGTAATATGGTATAGCCGAACGAGGATTTAGATTTAACATTTAAATTTTCAGGTTTAAATAGGTTAAAATACAAATAAAAATTAACATAATTAACGCTTTGCTTCGTGATATTTGTTATGTGAAGATGCGAAGAAAGAAAAAAAGAAAGAAAATTAAATGTCATAATTTTCGTTGACTCGCATATATATATATATTCTATCTCGAAAAATTCAATGTCATCAAAATGCAACGATAAAAGTTCCATATAATTTATTATTGGGTCAAAAAAAGACGTATCTTAACACACGTGTCCCGATAGATGGCAATCGTATCGTGTTACTCTCAAATAAAAATGTGATATCATTAAAATCTAGAACTTCGCGAAACATGACAAAAATTATTTTAATCATGCCACGTTTGGAAGAAAATAAAATATCCTAGAGATAAAAAAACATAGTTAAAAATTATAATTAAAAAGTATAATATTTCCGTATAAAATTCCGTTTTTCTTCTAAAAATTATTAACAAAGATATTTCGATATCATTTGTATTACATATATTGCATTCGCTTGATTAATAACCTCTCAAACGAAATGGGAAAAACGATTATTTTATTTCCTTTAAAAATATATCCAGTAAATAATATTTTGACAAAGATAAATTGACTAAATTCGTGATGACGTTATAAAAAAGATAGGAATTAGTATATAAACCGCTGAAACAGTTTGACAGTAAATAGAGATTCAGATCGAACCAAGCTTTCTAGAAGCAAATTCTAAACAACACTCAAATCAAAATGAGCAAAATCATTGCTGTCGTCGTCCTAGCTGCCTTCTGCGTAGCCATGGTAAATATTCATATTTTATTCCATCGCTTTACATTAATTTTAAATATTTTACACGTAAAAAATATTTTTATTAATCCATTATTTAAATTAATATATATTCTTATACGTTTCGTACTATTTCATTATTTCCTTCTCTTTATGCTACTCTGTTGCTGTTCTCTTCAAACTCTCTGTTGCGAGAGTCGTCTCATTATACGTTCATGACTTTCTTTCGACCAATTAGTTGGCTCGTGTCTCTTGAGAGCTGCCTCTAGTTTCCCCTAGTGTTTAAACTAGACGAATCCTACCGGTTATCGAAAGTTTTTATTTATACACTTGAGTTCCACACGAGTTCTTATATTCATATAATTTACTTTGCTTTATTCAGACTTATTCAGATCTTATCTACTATTTCATTTCAATAATATTCCATATTCCTGAGAACATATTGTTCCATATTTTTCTTTGATCATTTTTAAATTTTCGATTCACGTTCACGTGATATTTGATGGGAAGAAAAATTATATTTGTTCGAATATCACAATTCCAATTTTTCCTCTCTCCTTCTCCTCATTGATCTGTCTTTGAATCTAACGAAATTTTTTTTAATTAAAACAGTTGGTCAGCGATGTGTCCGCCAAAACATCGATCAGTGTCAAAGGCGAGTCAAGCGTAGATGTAAGTATGATTTGAATACGATTTCTTTTAAATACGAATTTTTCAAAAAAAATCAATAAAATTACCTGATCTATTCTTAGGTCGTTTCCCAAATCAACAATTTGGTTTCATCTATCGTAGCTGGTGCCAACGTGTCAGCAGCACTTCTAGCTCAAACTTTAGTTAATATCCTCCAAATTCTTATTGACGCCAATGTTTTTGCTTAATTTATATATTCTTTAGCTTTGTATTGCGCGCATACAACGCATTCGAATAAAATAAGTAATAAAATGCAAATCGTACACTATCTTATTCTTTTGCTTATCTTGAAAATCTTCCCTCACAATTAACGCGCAATTACGTTTCTTTTTATCCCCGATAATTATTGTAATTAATTCTGTTAACAAAAATATATAACATTATATAACATTTTAAAGATTAATAAAAATCATACGATGTAAACATTTAAACATTTCTTCATTTCTTCAAACATTTCTTCATAAAACACTTGCAACATTCATTTATATCGAAAAACGTTACGTTATTCGAAACATGATTTCATTTCTAAATTTTGAAACTTTTGTTACTTCGTTCTATTACTCGAAAGCTCGTTTAACACAACTTTTTTAATGACACATTAAAATTCTTAAATATTTCTTCACGTCGATTTCAACTTTTGCGAGTTGAAAATAAAAGAGAAAAAAACGAAAGGAAGGAATCAAATGGTCAAGAAGAGAAATAAAAATTCGCCTGAATAATGAGTAATTCCGAATAACGAGCGTTCGTGCACAGGCCGAAGAGAAGCGAGAAAGAGGATGGCGGAAAGTAGTCTGCCATTCGTCAGTTGCTCTTTTGTATTCAGTAGTCGGTATTCAGTGGCGAGACGATGGCTGCCGTGTTTGGCCAGAATTTTGACGTTGATGACGAGGGATGATAGATGCGTCCTGCATCCATTAGGAATAGTTGGATCCATGAGATCGAGAACGGCACGTGATATCGTTCCCCGTATATCGAGGATACGTTTACATATCCTCTTTCTCCGCCTTTGAAATCGTACAATAGAACTTGTTAAAAATTCCACGTTTACATGTTACATTACCTCGTTCGTGCTATAATATCCACTTCAGTTTAGCTGCTTTTTCTTTTCTTTTCTTTTTTTTTTTTTTTTACGATTACGATGTGTATCGTGAAGAATACTTATTATTTATTATTTTTCGATCACTTTCTTCCATCTTTCGAAAGGAAATTGTTCGAATATTTTGATAAAAAAAATGGCTTGACGACGTAATCAAATCATTTCTTGCAATCCTTTCACAATCAAAACGATCTCGATCTCTCCTTTCGAGTTCATCATTCTCGAGAATCAATTGACACTTGTGTTGTTGCATCGATACCCTGAAGATAAAGAAACAAATAATATATCGTTTTTCCATAACTCATCAAATGGAATGTTATAAGCTAGAATTAAACGTAAATTAAATTGTATATTTAACATATAAAAATGTATATATATATATATATATATATATATATATATGCTCTCTAATAAAATCGTGTATTTCTTATTTTTTAAACACCCAGTAGTTAACGAGTTGGATCATGTTCCACGTAATTGATGCAATTCATATTCATAGGCAGGAATCAGAAGCGGGGAGGGAGAATGGCCCAGCAATGAATCCGAACATCGGAAGTAGCGTCATCTTATGGTGAATACGCAAACCGAGCAGAAAGGGACGATAATTTCAGAACGAAAGTAAAAAAAAAAGAAAAAAAAAAGAAGACAGTGCGTTATTACGTGTCTACAATATCCACTCGCTGGTAAATATGAATGACTTTAATATTCCGTAAGCACGAAAGCACCACTTTTTAAAGTTCATGCATAACCTGAACGTGACCAGGAAATATTACAAAATCCTACGAAAAGCTCTTACTAACAGGAGCTATATAAAATAAAAAAAAAAAAAAAATAAAAGATCGCATATGCAATTTTTGTCATCTCACGAAATTTATACTTTTTTTTTTTTTTTGATACGTGCAATTTCTTTTATTTATTTACATATCGAAGAGATGACAATGATATGAAAGTTCGATTTATTTATAATTAATTTATAATATTGACATACGTAAAAAGCAAATAAATATATGGCAAAAGGAAAGATCATTCGAAATTAGTTTTAACATTTAAAAGTTCTAGAGAGGAATGAAAATTGTTGATTTAATGAATAAGTAAGGTTATGAGAACAGAATTGGAAAAATGTATTTTCATCTGGAAAAGGTTGTAAATTCGTATCGATATTCCCGTTCGAAATGATCAAGACACGTTGTAGATCTTTGAATTCTATTTACGTACAAATTATGTAGATAGAATAACGATCTCAAAATTAAATTTTTAATCGAACGAAGAGATACGTGGATAATGAGTTCCGCACTATGCAAAAAATTAATAAAAAATGCCACGTACATATTCTTATACTTGTGATGAGAATATTGTATATAACGTGGTATATGTATATATATAGTGTCCACTTGCTAGAATTTTTTACATTAAACTTGAACACGAAACTTGCACGATATACTTTCAGCGATCTCGACGACCTGAGCTTTAATAATTGACTAATTTAAATTTTTAACTTATATTAACTATCGTTTTACATAATCTAATCTAATCTATTCAATACAATTAATACTATATTTAAAAAAAATCAATATAATCTTTAATCTTTTCGAATTATTCATTTCATATTCTGATATAATAAAAGAGAAAACGAATAATACATTTAATATCAATTAAAATATTAAAAATCATATTTAAAATATTATATAAAAAAAATTAGAAAAAATATTTTAAAAGAAAAAATTATTATATGATTGTAATTATCGTTCTATATAATTACAATTATTTAAATTATTTACATAACCATAATTATTTAAATTATTCACTTAACCACAATTGAAAACAAAAATGAATTCCAACGATTTGTTAAAAGAGCGTATCATTTAATTAGAAACAGTGTCGCAGCTGGTAACGCGACACGAAACACGAATCGCAGCCGCTGGAAACCGTCCACGCGTATTTATACATTTAATAGAAGCCTGACCAGTGAACTCCACCTTAATTCAAACTAATTTACATTTCACATGTTCACCGAAGCGAAGCACGCTTAGCGCTCCCATTTATCTTGGTTGAATTTAATTTCACCCTGGCAAAATAAAGTACCGACTTATTCTTATAAATGTTATCGACTTATACAGTCTTGTCTTGTTTTTATAATTTGTTAGATATTAAGATATTTATTTATTTGTATCTTGTCTATTCTTCTCCTTATTTATTAATCTCTAAATATAATTATTTATATTTATGTTTTTTGATTGATATAAAATTATAACGTATCAATGTAAATGTAGGCACATCTTTGAAAGATCGATTTTCATACTGAAACAAGATAATTAAATTATTGATTCCTGATTAGTGATTATTGAGTAAAAACGATGAGTTAAGCAAAAAAGCAAAGTTGCGTCTAAAAATAGTTCTGCTGGATTAAGTAAAGATATATCATGTGATCAGATTTTTATTAAAATCAAATGTTACATCATTAGAATAAACAAAATCACATCATAAACAAAAAAACACATCATAAACAAAAAAAATGTAAATTATGTAAATTAATATCGACTACTAATTGATCGACCCACTAATTGACTTTAACTAATAATTAACTAATAATTGCGATAAAGCGCCGAATAATGCGTCATATAAGACTCCTAAGCAAAATTGTTAGACGAGCACGCTATTCCCTCTATCATTAAGTGACTCTGATAGATTATTTTACCCCCACTGCTAACTTAAATAGAAATACATTAGTGACCAGATTTCTTTTTATAGCTAACGTTGCGTCATGTCATTAAAACACATATTGAATAAACAAAAAATTAAATTATTATTGACTACTGACTCATCATTAATTAACTAATTGATATTAATCATTATAAAACACGGAATGACGCGCCAGGTAAAAAAGTTCCAAACAAAATTGCCAAACCAGCACGGTACTCCCTCTATCGTTAAAAGTGACTCTAAAAATATATCACGTGACGAGACTTCCATCAAAACCATGTATCATATCATATAATGAACACATAATGAAACAAACAAAAATTAAGTTGTTGTTCTGTTCGTTTCATTGATCATTATATAATGCATCGAATAGTGTGTTAAACAAAAAAGTTCCAAAGAAAGTTATCACACCAGACATTATTATCCCCTCTACCATTAAAAATGACTATTATTATTTTGTTTTAACTGCTGAGTAAGCAGAAGTATATCAGACTTCCATCAAAGCCAAACGTCGCACATCGTATCACATATATTGGAACACATATTAGCAAACAAAAATTAAGTAAGTTACAATTGACTATTAACTGATCATTGATCAATCACTAATTGACTTTAACTGATAATATAAATTGAACAATTTACAAGGTAAAACTTATCAAACCAGATATTATTATCCCGTTGCGCGTAACATTGTTAAATGAGCACGGTACGTCTTCTACTATTAAAAGTGATTCGTTATATTATTTGCTAAAATAACCTCACTGCTGAATTAGGAAAGATACATCACGTGACCGGGTTTCCGTCAAAACTAAACATCATATCACGTGACTCAGTGGTATATGAAAATAATGTGACGTAATATATTCTCCCTATAGAAATTCGCCATTTTAGCGATAGAAGAGGTAGAGTATCGTACTTGCCGACAATTCTCGCATGATAGTATTCTCACGGTAGTATTCTCTTCTCTTTCTGTTCTCTCATAAACAGTAGAATCTCGAAAATGTGTCGAGGAAAAGAAAAATTAAAAACATTCATAAAAAAACATTAAACATAACATTTTTAATAAACTCAAATATTATTTTTGCCATTTTATTTCTGTACTCGATAATCTTTTTTCGTTATAAATTCCTTGTAAATGATTGGATATCAATGATATACGTAATTATAATTATAAATTAATTTATCAAATGAGCTTGTGCTGAAATAAAATCTATTCTCTAAAAGATTTCCAAAGTATAAAAATAATATCACTGCATTAAAACGAACAAAGATTGTCTAAATAGCTACGTTTAAATGCAAACAGTAAATCACAACAGGCGTTGAATATCCCGTTGAAACACCGAGACACCGTTTGATTAACATTTTCATCGCATCTCGAAAGTTTAGAGTTCTTAGAAAATTCGAAATTACAAATTTTCATTAAAAAGTTTCGGTACCGATTTGCATAACTACACCACTTCACGATGTTCCATACACCGCGAGATTAAACTTGCGATCTCCTTGACATTTAATTAATACATTTAATCTAATAAAAATAGATGAGGATATTTAACAAGATATTTAAAAATCTTTAATCCAAATCTTAAATCCTTACTTGATATGAAAATCAAAAAAGTAGGAAAAATAATTTATGTCTAAAATTATTATATAATATAACTTTCTTGATGCGAATAATTTTATGATTAACATATATGGATGATGTTAAGGTGATTCCTCGATATTTTTAAGAATGATTTTTATTGAACGCACGTTCGACGATTCTTCAGCTCTTGAGAACAAGTAATTTCGAAGGGATTTTACCGTCTAGTTCGCACCGCTATTTCCGAATGGGATTGAATAGCACCGCCTTGACAAACTGTCCTCACGGCCTTGTTTTCCAATTTATCCGTGATCCACCGCTCAGACGACCGACCACGATACTTCTTTTCTCTGTAACAGATCGTTACATTAAATCTATCGAAAAATTCTTGATAAGAGTTTACCGTTGTTCATCGATTTTTTACACGGGATATAATTCTCCGTATTTCGGTAAATGAAAACACGAAAAAAACGATATTAATGAAAAAAGCAAAAATGAAAAAAAAAAAAAAATAAATAATTGTTTCGAATAATTATTCAACTTATCTTAAGAAAAACCAATGAAACGGTTACGAAAACGATTCTTATATGTAAATAATTATCAAAAAATATAAATAAGACAAAATTGTTTGTTTAACGAAGAAATATTAAGATAATATAATTTTTTTTTTTTTGTTAAAATAGATATATAGCATAATTTTCTTTTAAAAACTTTTTTTCTTTGAATAATATGCAAATTTTCTTTTTGAATTTTAAATCACAATTTTTTTACATTGTTTTAAACGAACATTCATAAAATATAAATGTACGAGTAAAGTTATATAATTTATGATCGAACCATTAATATTAGAATAGATAAAGGAAATATCATATATTGGTATATCGAATTAAAAAAAAAAAAAAAACGGAATCTTTTTTTTTTCGAAAGACAATATGCCTTAATGAGGATTAATAGACGGCAGGTTGGAAACGAACCGACTTTGATTGGAAATCCTTTATTTTCGTTGCGTTCGACTTTATTTCAGGGAAACTGGTTCAAAAGCTTGGTAATTTTGTCGATCGTTCGACCGAAATGTAAATTTTATGCCACTATTAAAATCGATCTCATCGTTGAGCACGGCGAGCGTTTCCCTCGTTCATCCCACGTGTTGCCTTAATAGAGTATCCTCAAAGTCTCAATTACAATAGTTCCTATTATCAACAATTATATAATATAACGCGACATTATACGTCACAATGACTCATTTTTTTTTTTTTTCGTTATTAATTTTCATTTGTTCAACATTAAATTAAGGTTTTTTTTAGCATGAAATATCCAAATTATAACCGAATTTAGTCTATGTGAAATTTATACGTTCTTATTATATGTTCTTTTATTATATTAATTATAAATATATTGCAATATTGCATTTTTCAATTATTCCCTTTTATAGACATTGTTATTTTCAATTTATTTTCATTCGCTTGCCAAAAATTTGATTCAATAAAATAATATCAAAAAACGATACGTATCAACGATAACAATTTTTATAAATAATAAATAACTTCGCAAATGAAAAAATTTTAACTTATCAGAATAGCGTTGAATGACGTATTGTATCTATTATAGAGATAATCTACTATATGTATACCGCCAAATGCGGTAGAAATTACAGTGATCCGATAGTCGGTCAAACTTCATGACTTAAAAAATACTCAAGTCTGTCAATGTTAATTTAAATCAAAGTTTTTAATATTTTTGTGGCGTGGCTCGGAAAATTCTAAAAATTTATTCGTATCGTGTACGTGGGATCGATAATCTTTTAATTAAGATACGTTGCTATTGTTGATCTTTCCTAAAAAAATTCTTATTAAAACTTTCGGTTCGATATGGATTTATTTGTCAGTTATAATATCATTGTACTTATATCTTAATAAATGTCATCGATAAATCAAAATTTCACATGAATAAATAAATATTAAATTTATTTTCAAACATTTGTCAATATACAGAGTGTCAAAATTTTTTGAAAAAACGAAATTACTGAACGAAAAATTAAATCGATTTAATTTATCAAGTTACAAGTAATTGAAGCTTATATTTTGGCAATAACTAAACTTTAATTTAAAACTAAATATATTTATATACTAATTTTTATGTTTCTTTTGCCTTCTAAAATTTTCCAAGGTATATGTGTATAAGTAAATTAATATAAAAATATAATATAATATGATATAATATAAAAAAAAATTAATAAAAAAAAAATAATCATAAGTGAATCATCTATAAATTTATTCTCATCCGTTCTTAGTTTATCTGCTATCTGTTATTATAAATATTGTATTTGAGTCTGGCAAGAAGTCCAACGAAAAGGAAACATTCAACTTCTTTTATTTGATATATATCTATTATATGACTTTATTTGTAGACATAACATTTTTGATCAATATATCGTGTCTGTATAAAATCGATCTTTCTCCTAGGAAAAAAGTTTTCTTATAAGTCACGAACAATATTTATATATATATATATATATAATATATATATAATATATATATATAAATATATATAATATATTTAATATATATATAATAATATATTTATATATTTATATAATATATATATAATAATATATTTAATATATATATATATATTATAATATATATAAATATATATAATAATATATATATATAATATATATAATATATATATATATACATATATATAAGGAAGAGTGTGATGTAAATAATATTCAAAATATGCAAGACAACTTCCTATGAATATGCAATTTTTTATTTTCAATCAACTTCTTTCTTGTGTTTTTTTTCTACATTCTTCAAAAGTGTTCTTATGTTTCTCATATCTATATTTATCGTCAACGTAACGATGATATGCAAGAAAAAAAAAAAAAAAGAAACTCAATATTTTCCAATTCTTTCATCGAATCTATTCCTTTTCTAATCAATTCACACATTCATCTTTATATATCGATTCTATAATAAACCTCGATACATCTCAAATTCGAAAATTATTACGAATTCTTTGTTTCAGAAATCGGAAAATTATGTGGGAGGCAGCGTTGTTGATCGTAATCCTGTCCGCTGCAACGGATAAAAGTAAATACTCGATCAATTTTACAATATAGTTTCTTAAAATATCCCCCTCCCCTTTTCCTCCCGTGTGTGATTTCAATCAATCGTTAGAAATCAAAAAATTAACAAAATTATATAAAAAAAAAATCTCCCGATTAAAATGCGCGTAAATATTCAAAATATATTCATCGCAATATGGTGAACCGCAACAGGTGTTGCAAACGACTGCGTGCCACGAAGTTTTGGGACAAATAATATCGTATGCGTTTGCAACTCAACTTACTGCGACAGCACGCCGGAACCAGAGCCGAAGAGTCCAGAGAAAGGTACTTTTCACTGGTACGTATCGAGCAGAGATGGCCTCAGGCTGAGCTTGTCAAAAGGAAAGATCGGCCATTGTCAAAACGATGATGAATCTGTAACTCTGAACATCAATACCTCGAAGAGGTATCAAACGATCCTCGGTTTTGGTGGTGCTTTTACCGACTCGACGGGAATAAATATCAGAAATCTGAGCGAGGCTACTCAGGATCAATTAATCAGGTAATACAACGGATCGATGGTGAAATATTATCACTTATTCGATTTGAATAAAATTAAATTGATTGTATGAACGATAAATATACAATAAAATAAAAATAAAGTGTACAACGAGTAACGAGACCTGTATTTAACCTGTTCTATAGGGCGTATTTCGATCCGAAAAGTGGAAGTAAATATACATTAGGCCGTATACCAATAGGAGGAAGTGACTTCTCTACGAGAGCCTATACATTGGACGATCACGATGGTGATGCGACGTTGCAACATTTCGCGCTTGCTCCTGAAGATATCGAATATAAGATACCGTACGCGAGGAAAGCTGTCGAATTGAATCCCGATTTAAGATTCTTTAGCGCTGCATGGTCGGCCCCGAGATGGATGAAAACTAATCACAGAATCAATGGATTTGGTAAGTTAACAAAGTATATATATATATTCTTTTTTTTTCTAAGATAAATATCATGTTTTGAATAAGTTTTTCGAATGCTAAATACTTGAAACTTTCATTCGAAACACAGGTTTCTTGAAGCCTGAATATTATCAGACTTTTGCCAATTACATAGTAAAATTCTTAGATGAATATAAAAAGAATGGAATAGATATATGGGGTGTTTCAACTGGAAACGAGCCATTCGATGTCTATGTTCCTTTTGAGCGTCTTAACAGTATGGGATGGACACCAGAGCTGGTTGGCGATTGGATAGCTAACAACTTAGGCCCAACTTTGGCAAATTCCGATCATAATGGCACACGAATTTTCGTTTTGGACGATCAAAGAATAGGATTACCTTGGTTCGTCGACAAGATCTTTAAAAATGAAATTGCGAAAAATTATGTTTACGGCATAGCTGTACATTGGTACACAGATATATTGATTCCACCGACAGTATTAGATGAAACGCACAGTAATTTTCCTGATAAAAAAATTTTGCTAACCGAAGCATGTGAAGGTAAGATATATATTCATAAATTATTTTAATCAATTTAATTAATTTAATTAATTATAAAAATATTCCTTTAAAAAATTCGAATAAGTATACAAAAAAAATGCAAATTGATCTCAAAATAATTAAGTCTATATAATCAAAAGTTGTATGTACTTTCTCTTATAAAAAATATTTTTGTACAGGATCTTTTCCATTGGAAAAAAAGGTTGTGTTGGGATCATGGGAAAGAGGAAAAAGATATATATTAAGTATAACGCAGGTAAAGTGATTAAATAGTTACAATGATGAACATTTTTTAAGAGAGAGAGGATATTATTATCTAGTTTTAATATAAATTTTTACTTATAAAAACAATTTTTACTTATAAAAAATATAATCTATTTTTAAGTATATGAATCATTGGGGAGTTGGATGGGTAGATTGGAATTTAGCTTTGAACAAAAATGGTGGACCAAACTACATCAATAATAACGTCGATTCGCCCATTATTGTAAATCCGGAAAATGATGAATTTTATAAACAGCCAATGTATTACGCTCTTAAGCACTACAGCAGATTCGTCGACAGAGGGTCGGTCAGGGTTTTCATCACCAATACGATTGAAATTAACGCCGCAGCCTTTGTAACACCCTCGAACGAAATTGTGGTTGTTGCGTATAACGAGTAAATGAGAATTTATTTTCAATTATTTACAATCGACACAAGAGTGTGTATCATATTTATAACAATTATCTTGCTTTTCAGCAATAATGAAAAAACAAATGTGGTTCTAAACGATGTGGCAACTAAAGATTATATTTGTTTGGAATTACCTCCACATTCTATGAATACTGTAATTTACAACAGATAAAATGCTCGTTTGAAATGAAACAACCAATGAAATATATTATAAATTCTATTATGTTAAAAATATAAAACAAAATTATATCGTATTATAAATAATAAATGAGAAGATGTATTATTACGTTTATTAAGATAAAATAAATTAGCTGAAATAAAACTTTGTTCTAATAAATAATGATAACAATATATTTAATTGTATATCATGAAAATATTCCAACGATTACAATATATACACGTTAAGGTGCATATAAGTAATTTGCCATAATTTTTTTTGTTTGAAAACAATTTGCAGATTCGTACATAAATATTCGTCTGCAAATATTGTCTATAATTCGCTCTCTGCAATAATTCGTGACAACGATCTTTGAATTTTCTATTCAATAATTCTATTCTTTTCTATTCTTGCTTTTCATTCTATAATTATCAGCACGATTCAAAGTACAAATTTAAAAGTTTATTTGTGTTGTTTCTATCGATTAAGATATCGATCAATTGAGTAAATGAATATGTTAAGTATCGTTGCACGTTTTAATAATTACTTTTAAAAAAGAAAAAAGGAAAACAGAAAAATTTACGTGATATATAAACTCGATGTTTATGAAGTTAACATTTTTAATCGAGAATCGAGAATTCAATGCTTTTCTGTAAATAATAAGAATAAATGATTCAAGTATCATATATTTAAATATATTTTGTATTTTATGATCATAGTAATTTCATTTATTATATATATTAAAAATATAAAAAAAAGGCTTTTTTGCGTATTTTGTTTCGATAATTTTTATTTTTAATATTTCAAAGTTATACATATAATTCAACATTTTTTATCGCAAATTAATTTTAATATATTCTTTGTTTGCGTCAATTTTTTTTTCTTCTTCATTGATTTTTTTGCAATATATTTTGAACATCATTAAAAGAATAAAGATAACTGCTCAATTTACATTAGAAATGTGTCAGTTTTTGAAAAAAATTAATCCTAAATGATGAATTGAAATAAAAAAAAAAAAAATATACTTGTAAATAATAATATTTGAAATAAATTACGGAGATATGCTTTAAAAAATTTATTTAATTCTTCTAATTCTAAGATAAATTTTTTAATTTTTTTTTTAAATTAATTACACTTGTTATTTGCGTTATATCTTATATACATTGCGTTATATCTTATATTATCTTTGTTTCATCGAGCTATATAAATATAATTCCAGACTTTGTATAATATTATAAAAATGTGTAAATATTTTTAATTATAAAACAAATAGTACTTTATTAATTCGTTATTAATATTGATAAATTTCTATATCTATTTCATATAACAAATTATTATAAAGATAAGAAATAATAGACAACATACAAATACAGATAATATATCATTTATATAAATGGCATGTCAGTTTTACTTTATTTTTATTCGGAAAAATATAAAAGAAAACGTCTAGATAATTACATACCAGTCACACTTCTTCTCTCATAGATTCGTTCAAATTTTTAGCAATGAATACGAAACACGTCTGGACTATATTTCTACTTCTAATTTCCTTTTTCTTCAAAAAAAGTGAGTCGAATATAATTCAATTATATTGTCTAAATGTAAAAAAAGCCTCATTAACAATCATCTTTATATCTTTAGAAAAATAAAAATTTATTAAGCCAATATATTGAGTAAGTCTGAGTCGTCCTGGGATCATTCTTCTTGTATCCAACCGATATATACATTATTTACTAAATTAATTTTTCAAACGATTAATTAAATTAAATTACAATTATTTCAATTAATTATAGGTATTGCAAACGATTGTGCGCCTTACCGTGTAGATGACGAAATAATCGCGTGTGTCTGCAATGCGACATATTGCGACGGTATACCGGATGATAATCCGGAAGTACCTACGGAAGGTAATTCCTATTGGTACGTGTCAAATAAGCAAGGGCTGCGAATGAAGGGGTCAGAAGTAAAGTTTGACAATTGTGAGAACTTCGACGCGAATATAACAATCATTATAGACAGTAAGAAAAAATATCAAAAGATAATTGGATTTGGGGGCGCATTTACCGATGCCACTGGTATAAACATAGCGAAACTTAGTCGAGCTACTCAGGATCAACTGATTCGGTAATTCGATCTCTGCCTAAAAGGTTAAGAGAAATGCACGATAATTTGTTACTTAAAATACGCGATTTTTGAATTGTTTAGAGCGTATTACGATCCGAAAAAAGGAAGCAGATACACATTGGGTCGTATACCTATTGGTTGCACCGATTTCTCTACGAGAATTTACACGTACGACGATGTTCTCGGTGATACTTTGTTAAAAAACTTTTCCCTTGCACCGGAAGATTACAATTACAAGATACCATATGCAAAATTGGCTGTTGAATTAAATCCTGAAGTGTTATTGTTCGCCGCTGCATGGACTGCTCCGTTATGGATGAAACAATTCGACAAGAATATCAGTATGTACGATAGTAACGTATTCTTGAAGTGAAAGTCTAGAAAGTTAAAAAAAAAAGTGATAGAACAAATTCTTCTTTTTTCTTTCTTTATTTAATTAATATTTATATAAATTTATTATAATAAATTTATTATAATAAATTTTATAATTATTGATTAGCTTATTTAAAAGAAGAATACTACGAAACCTACGTTAATTACTTGATTAAATTTCTGGATAAATATGAAAGAAACGGTGTTAATATATGGGGAATTACACCTAGCAATGAACCGTTACTCGGTTTTATGATCGATAATCCAAATATTAGTATGACATGGATACCCGAAACACAGGCCAATTGGATTACTAACTATTTCGGTCCGACTTTGGCATCATCACCATTCAATAAAACGTTACTTTTAACCTACGACGATAACAGAAGCAAACTAATCGAATATGTCAAAGCAGCGATTGAAATTGGAGGAAAATATATTGCTGGAATAGGTGTACATTGGTATCAAGATTTTATTTATCCTGCAACTATCATAGATCGCGTACATGAGAAATTTCCTGACAAATTTATTCTTATGACCGAAGCATCCATATGTAAGTTCTCACGCTCGAATAAAGGAATAATTATCTGTAATTATAAAACAAATATATAGAGAAACTTTTAATTGCCTTATTTTTTTTTTAATCGTATAGTTGATTCAGTATGGAACTCTAGCAGTAAACTTAAATCAGAAGCATGGCAGAGAGGCGAAAAATATATTTTAAGCATAATAGATGTGAGAGAATTTTATTATAATTTTATTAAAAATTTCTTGAAAATTGATTGTTTGAAAAATTGTTAATTATTAAAGTATTTTATGTTAAGTACATGAATCATTGGTCAGTTGGATGGGTAGATTGGAATATGGTTCTGGATAAAACTGGTGGACCAACCGTTGTTAATAACAATCTCGACGCTCCTATTATCGTGAATCCAGAAACCGATGAATTTTATAAACAACCTTTATATTATGCTATCAAACACGTTAGCAGATTCGTTGATAGAGATTCTTTCCGAATTTCTATTACTGATAATAATTCGGTCAACTCTACAGCCTTTCTTACACCTTCGGGAGAAACGGTTGTTGTACTATACAATGGGTAACAAAAAATTTATTTTTCTACTGCATAATTATAGAATATAAAATATGAAAATACTTATGAAATGAAATGAAATACTTATTTCAATTATAAATTTCTTTGTTTACACAGTTGTAGCTATTGATATTTTATTAGTTTCTTATTTTTATTTTAGGGCCATTTCTACAAAACATATAATTCTAAAGGATTTGCAAAAAAATAGTAAACTTTGCTTGGAATTATCTCCGCAGTCTATGAACACTTTAAAATATAAATAATAAAAATTTCTTGAATATTACTTTAATCTAATCACGATTAAAATAACAAGAATAAAAATCAGAGAAATAAAATAAAAAAAAATATTTTACTTTTATAAGCACAAATACTTTTATATATTCTTATATCAAATTCTTGCATAAGAATTTAAATAATAAATTAGATATTTTATAAGATTATTGTAAAAAAAAAAAAAAAATTTCTTTTAAATTATATTTAGAATATTTTAATATAAAATAAAATAATCTATCTTAACTTTATATTTTGTTTAATTAATGTTATATTATTATGTATTAAGAAAGAGAAAATGATTTTAAAGAATTAAATATATATCATTAACGAATTCATTTTAAAATTATTTTAACAATGTTATACCTTTAGCTTATATGATATTCAAGTTATAACTACATATAGATATTAAAAAGAAAACAATCAAATTAATTAAAATTTAATTTAAGTATTGATAAATAATTACAAATACTTTCATTAACAATATTTATGTAAATATAAAATCTAACATTTTAAGCATCTGGATAATATGATTTTGCCCAGCGGCCTATTTTTTTCTTTTTGGGATTCTCTCTTAAACATTTTGGAACATAAACTGGTTTATGATCATCTAATCTTCGCTTGTAAGGTTTATAACCAAATTCCCATGGATCACGTTTCTTGTCCAAAAAACGAGTTTTATTATCAACTAAATAAATTTTTTGCCAATGGTACATTTCAGGTATTTTGCTATAAAAATAAAAAAGAAATCAGTATGTATTATATGCGTACGAGTGGTATTTTATATAATGATATATATTATTAATCTTAAATTTTTATAAAATTGATTAATGTAGATAAATATTCATATGTTTAAATACTTACAAATGTCTTGGTCTATTTGACATTAAGTATTTAAATAATTTTTCTAGCCATATTCTTCGCTCAATATCAGTAATATCAGCAAGAATTTTTACAGAATCACCTAAATATGGTTTCATGTTTTCATTTTTTTTTACAGGTGCATTCATATAAAATGTGATTAATTGTTTTAAAACATCTTCATTAAATCCATAAATTTTTCCATTTTCCACTTTATCAAACAACATTATTGGTTGTGTTATCCAACATATATTACGTGTAAGATTATTATCTGCATGTTCTGAATGAACTAATGTAGTATTCAATTGATAAACACAAAATGACCAGTATTGACCATTTGTTAAAATTGTTTGTGATACTAATGGATATGTTATATCATTAACTGTTGAAAAACCTAAAAATTAAAAAAAAAATCATAGAATATATGCATATTTGTTTGTTAAAATAGTTATAATAAAATTACAGTTATATAAAAATAATTTTGTTTTAAAAAAAATAATTTTTTACTTAAACTAATACCTTGATAACAAGCTTGTGATAACAACCAACTATAAGATGCAAAGATAGCTTGTACAGTAATTGCTTCTTCACTTAAAGGTAAGAAATTAAAAGTCAAATTATTTAAATTATGATATGATAATAAACCAAATTCAGAAGGATCACCAGGCCAAAAACCAGGTATACAAGTTGCATGTTTATATGCAAATTTATAACCTAGAACTCTAGGATTAAATTTGAATTCAGGAATAAGTAATTCTGGATTCAAAGACTGATTTAGAGAAAAAATCTCTCTTAAAGGAAATTGGTGTCTTAATTGTAAGATTGGAGAACCAAAATATTGGACAGGTATAGTAATTGCATCACGTAGACGTTCTTTTCGAAATTCTGACTTCACTAGTGGTATTTTAGATAAATGCTGATGTTCTATACCACCTGCAAACCAAAATGCCTCCACTCTTGGTTCAAAATCTATTTCAGTTTCTAATAAATGTGGTGTAGTTGAAGACAGAACAGTTAATATTATTCGATTGATTTGAAAAACAAGTGCCTTTGTAATAGCATTTTGCAATAATTTTTCTTTTTCTGTATCTATTTCCTCCATTATTTCTTGTTTTTTTCTATAACATGAATTTACTAAATTAATTTTACAAATAATTTTTATATAGATATTTTTAACTTTATAAATAACTTTATTAATAAAATAATGTTATATTAAAAAAAAATTATTCTTATTATTATAAGTTATTACAATTATTCTTATTATTATTTTAATAATTTATACTTACAATCTATGACTATATTCAAAAATGATAATATTTTCTATATTTTGTTTAATAATTTGTACTAAAGTATTTATTTTTTCAGGTGTAATTACTGTATCATAAAATTCAGGTAATTTATTATTGTTTATAACATGAGTATGTGTAATATATTGAGCATGTTGTAATGAATTATACGGTATAAATCCTTCCATTAAATTTAATGATTTCCAACCATAATAACGTGGCATATTAATTCCTATTAACTTTTCCTCTATAGTTTCTAATTTTTTAATTTTATTGTGCCATTCTTCATTTTTTCTTTTAATTTTAGCTTTGTAGGATAAATCCAATATAGGTGGATAAATTGCATTTTCTGTTTCATTTAGAGTCAAACTTGTACATTTTCTTATAATATTTTTTAAAATATTAATAGAAAAATTTGGCAATGAATTTTTTAAATTAGTATACATATCAAAAAATAATTGTTATTGATTATATGGAGGTTATATTTAAATTTCTAATTTTATTACACAATAATTTTATTATTATTCATGTTTTATCACGGAATTTATATTAAACTAATAAATTATATAGAAAAAATGAATATTAAATATATTAAAGAAAAGACTAAGTTATTATATGTTAAATAAATATACAAATGTAAAGTACCAACAATAAGTCAAAAATATATTATCACTATTACAGACATAATATAAGATAAACTTAACCTAATATTTAATGATTTCACTTTGTATCCTATATTCCTTTTAAAATACTAATCATGCAGAAAATGTATTTAATAATTTTTATAATTACAGGAACTTAATTAATACAAAAACTGCTAAAGTCAACAAATTTTAAAAATAATTTCTTTAATTATATTCTATCATAGATATTTTTATGTTTGGATTGTATTTATAGATCTTTTAGTTACAAATAGATAAACTTATGATATAGTCATATAAATTGTATTATTTATGAGTTAAAAATTATATTCTTTATTACAATATAAGATAAAAAATAATATTAATTTATGAATTTTTTTTTATAAAAATATTATTTATAAATAATTTGAAAAAACGTTACTTTTAAAATTGTTAAAATTTTTAATCAATGTGTTAAAAAAAAAATGAAATTAATTAGAATCAAAGTCGTTTCTTAAGTGTATAAATCTTGTACAGCAAGTATAGAAGAGAGCAAATAAAAAAAGAAAGCAAAGAAAGACAAATAATTGGAAAAAGATATAAAAATAAGATAAAAATTAAAAAATCCGCGCCAATTTTAGAATGTCGTGAATGAAACATATTAAGATAATATAGCAAACAATGAAAAAAAATAGAAATAAATAAAAATTGACTATTAATACCATCTTGTAAATTCCAACATTAATCATTTTAAGATTACTCAAGAAATGGTACTATTATACTTTTAATTTTCTATTCTAGTTTGCCTTTGATATTCAAAAAATGGCATTGAAAATAAATTCATACTCTATCTTCCTTTATTATTTGCTATTCTTTTTTCATGTGCAGCATTCTCGAGATAGCGCTAACTCCTAAATTTTTATAATCTCCAATCTCAATCCTCTAATTATTTGTTTTTCTTCTATACTTGTTTTTGGCGCGTAATCACAAAAGTATTAGAAATTGAAAATATTTTCATTTTTTTTTCAAAACTGCATTGTATTTTAATTTTTAATTAAAAAATATAGAATATAGAATATTGAAAATAGAATTACCTTCTTAACTTTATAATATAATAATGTAATTTAATATTTTGTGTATTAACATAATTTATTAAAATTGTTATTATTTTGTTATAAATAAATATTAAATTTTTAAATAATAAATAAATTTAAAATTTTAAATAGTTATTAAATAGTTTTTTAATAATACATAAAAAATAAATGATCTTACATTTAAATTACATTTAAATTATTTATATTAAATTTATATTTTATTATATTATTATTATATTAAATTTAAATTCGTAATACAAATTAATGTTTCTTTTTTATAAATTTCGAAATCAAATTTTAGGAATACAGTGATATAGTTTATCTGTCTCAATCAAATTTGGTATTACTGCATATTATATATATAAATGTATTATGTCCATTAGAATGTATTATATTCATAAGAAATGTACGTAACATTATTTTCGATTATAAATATTTAAAAAATTTAAAATATTATTTCTAAAACAAGTGTTTTAAAGTTTTAATATCCTAAATTTGATAAATTCAAGATGTGCTAATTAAAAAATATGTTATAATTTCATACAAAAATAAAGAAATTAATTGAGAGGTTAAGATCGTTAAAAAATGCCGCAAGGAACGAGAAAAAAACCATTTAGTGGTAAAGCTAAAAAACAACAACTACAAGCCAAAAAACAACGACAATCTTCGACTTTATTTGGTATATATAATATAAAATTAACTAATATAATAACTTAAATAATATATATTTATATATTTTATATTTTTATTTATATTTCTCGAAAATAATTTATTTTATATTATGTACAATTAGCAACAGAAAATTATAATACATCCAATGAAGACAAAATAAATCATTATAGTGGTTTTGAAAATAATGCTATACAAAAAATTAATAAGCAGCCAAAAGATAATAATTCTTCTAAAAATAGATATACTTTACAATTCTTCCATGAAAGTAAAGAAGAACTATTAAAACGAAAAGAACAAGCTAGAAATGCTATTGAAGCTTTATCTCTTAAAGATCAAGAAATTTCTAATGATTATTTTCCACCTGAAATTAATATGCCAAAACGACCACCTTGGAATTTCAATATGTCAAAAGAACAGTTAGAATTAAGAGAACAAAAATATTTTACTGTAAGCAATTACAATTTTTACTTATATTTATTGAAAAATAAATTCAGTATCAACTAATAAGTTGTTATTTTTAGGAGTATTTAAAAAATATTGAAAAATTAAGTTCTGTAAGTTATTTTGAATTAAATTTAGAAACTTGGAGACAATTATGGAGAGTTTTAGAAATGTCTGATATTTTATTAAGTATTGTTGATATTAGGTATTGTGTTTTAATGTTTCCACCATATTTATATGAATATATAATAAATGAACAAAAAAAAGATATGATTTTAGTTTTAAATAAAGTTGATTTAGCACCTCCAGCTTTAGTAATAGCATGGAAAGAATATTTTCATACTGTATATCCAAAGTTACATATTTTAATGTTCACATCATATCCTACTTATAATTTGCGTGGAAATACAAATGAAACAGAAGGAATAAAACAAAGACGTAGAAAAGGAAAACTTAAAATGGCTGCAGAAGGAGCTCAAAAATTGTTAGATATTTGCAAGGAAATTGTTGGAGATAATGTGGATTTAACTTCTTGGCAAAATAAAATTAGAGAAGAAATGGAAATGGAATTTGATTTAGATGATGTTGATCATAAAGACAATGTTACTATTGAAAAAAAAGATACAAGTTATTTTAAACATGAGCGCTATAAAAATGGAATTTTAAGTATTGGATGTATTGGAACTCCAAATGTTGGAAAGTCATCTTTAATGAATGCATTAATGGGTAAATTTTTTTTATAATATATTTAAAATGTAATAAGTAATAATATGTAAATATCTCATTTGTTGAATATCTTTCATAGGAAAAAAAGTTGTTAGTGTATCACGTACACCAGGACATACAAAACATTTTCAGACTATATTTCTTACAAAAACTGTTTGTCTCTGTGATTGTCCAGGATTAGTATTTCCATCTACAGTACCTAAACAATTGCAAATATTAATGGGATCTTTTCCAATAGCTCAAGTCAGAGAACCATACACAACAATTAAATTTCTAGCTGAAAGAATAGACTTACCTAAAATACTTAAACTACAACATTTAGATAATGATGATACATGGTCTGCTATAGATATTTGCGATAGTTGGGCTTCTAAACGAAATTTCATTACTGCACGAACTGCTAGACTTGATACTTATAGAGCAGCTAATTCATTATTAAGAATGGCACTTGAAGGAAAAATTTGTATATATATATATCCCCCGGATTGGTTTCTTAATAAAGGTTATTATTATTGTAGATTAATATAAATAATTTAAAAAAAATAATAATTTTAAAAAATAATAATTTATATAATCATACAGAAAAATGGGAGAATCATTCGGAAGTTGAATTAGTTAAATGGATTCAAGCTAGGAATAAAGGAGAAGATATTAACAATGCAAAAAAAATATATATCTCATCTGAAGATGAAGATGAAGAAGAACACTTAGAAAATCAAAAACATCAAAAAAGAATATCAAAAGATACATGTGATAATTTTGAAGATTCTGATGAAACTACAAGTGAGGAATTGGAATTACCAAATGTAGTTAATAAATTTGAAGCATTATCAACAGATATATAAAAATATTAATTGTTCATTGGTCAATAAATAATTTTTATTTATTTCTCAATACACATTATATATGTTATCTATTTACAACGAAATAGGCTATAATGTTTGTAACGAAATATTTGATAAGTAAAAATATTATGTATATTACACGCATTATTGTACTACATCTAATGATTTTTAATCATTTATTGTACTGCTCTTTTATGTACATACTAGCTTTTATTACTGTTTCGTTGGTCCATTATACAGCAATTATTTATTTAAAAAAGCTCTTTTATGTAAAAGCATAATCTATTTTAAATTGTTTTAAAAGTGTTTGCAAAAGAAAGAAAAATATTTGGATTATTAAATAAAAAAAATAAATGTTAATTGTTTTAAACTTCGAGGCCTATGATATTTATATGATAGAATATAATTCAATATGTATAAATGTTAAATGTTGAAAAAATAAGATTTTTAAATATAATATACTGATATATATTTCTAGTGGACAAAACTATCTTTAAAATATTCGAAGTTATATTTCTAATATTAAATAATAATTTAACTATATTCTATATTCTTTTTTTTTATCAAAATATCATGTTTTATTATTTAAAGTATCATGAGCATATATATAAATAAAATTTGCAAGTAGTATTTTTATGCTCCCAATAACTTTTTAACAGAATACCCAGGTATAGCATAAAAGAACAATAATACAAGTACTATTAAACCAATTATTATAAAAGCTTTCAAGATTGCTAATTTATAATTGTGCCATATAATATATTTAATAGATTTCAAAGGATTCATAAACCACATGAAAGATGCATCAGGTCGGCTGAAATATAAAACAAACTAATTAAAGATATATTTAAAAACTAATAGATTTATTGTGAAAAAAATTGTATTCTAATTTTAATAAATAATAATAATTTTGAATTCAATATTCAAAATTTTTTAAATTTATAATATTTAAAGGCAAATTATGTTATATAAATATATGTTAAGAAAATAATAAATTCTTTATTTATATAAATTGATAATATTTCTTACTTTGGTTTCTCAAGTGGATCCGGATCATTTCTTCCAAATCCTGCAGGATTTTTTTCAGCTTCTTCTTTACTC